CTGAGTCGATTTATGCATGTCCGTCCGTCCGTCTGTCCGTCCGTCCGTCTGTCCGTCCGTCCGTCTGTCCATGTATTTTTGTAAACAAAGTACAGGTCGCATTTATTGCCCGATATAGATGAAATTTTGCAAAGGTCTTTTGTTTGGCCTAAGGACGAACCCTATTGAAATTGGAGATAATCGGTCAAAATTTGGATATAGCTCCCATATATATCTTCGTCCGATTTGACTTTTATTGTGCACCAAACGTGTAATATCAGCCCGAATTGTATGGAATTTTGCACATACACCCATATTAGGCCTGAAAATATGTATGCCAAATTTGATCGAAATCGGTTCAGATATAGCTATAGCTCCCATATATATTGTTCATCCGATTTGTTATTTTTGTCCACCGCCACCGTAATATGCACTATGCAACAACAATATTTGGGGAAATATATCAAATACAGCTCAGAAATACATTTGCTAAATTTTATCGAGATCGGTTCAGATTTGGATATAGCTCCCATATATAACATCGTCCGATTTACCTTTTATTGTGCACCAAACGTCTAATATTTGTCCAAATGGGATGGAATTTGGCACTTACGACCGAATTGAGTCTAGTAGCTAGTATGTCAAATTTGGTTCAGATCGGTTCAGATATAGTTATAGCTTCCATATATATTATTCATCCGATTTGTTATATTTGGTACCCACAACCGTAATATGCACTCTGTAACAACGATATTCAGGGAAATATATCAAATACAGCTCAGAAATATCGTTGCCAAAGTTTATCGAGATCGGTTCAGATTTGGATATAGCTCCCATATATATCTTTATGCGATTTCAAATTAATTGAGCACCAAATGGGAAATACAATTCCGAATTTAAAAGATACAAATGCTTCGGCATATTTAGTCCTTTGAACTTTAAATTATAATTATAATCATAGCGTGTATGATTGAATTCTCCCATAGAAACTTTTAATTGTTATGTGGAGCTCTACTTAATTAGCAAAGTGGTGTAGGGTATCATAAAGTCGGCGCCGCCCGACTTTAAGACTTTCTTTACTGGTTTTCCTTTAATTTGGAGCATGAACTACTCCAAATAACTAATAATGAAGCTAATATCAACAAAATGCCAAATATTGGGAGGAACCGGTATGTATGTGCTATACAAAGTGTGAACTCCATTTCGAATTTAAAATAATTCTGGTGTAAAATGTGTCTAAAATCACCAAAATACCGAATATCGGTGGGTACCGTTGTATTTGGGGCTATAAGGAAACAGGGACCTCTATAGCCAATTATCTGCCAGAGAAGGTAGCTCCTATTACAAACTCTAAAAATCAAGATTAAGATAATTTAGATAAACAATGTAGCTAAACTCTCAAAATACCAAATATTGGAGGTGGTACTCATTACAAATTCCAAATACCAGATATGAAAAGGGCAACACAAATCATCAATATATCAAATAACAGGAGGCACAGTTATATGGTGGGTTACCAAAAAGTAGACCTTCACCGCCCATTTTAATACCCAATTATGTTTTTGTGCATTTGTTTGTAACATGGAGAAGGAAGTTAGATAGACCCATGGTACAATGAAGAGAAGGTAGGTCAACTTTGAAAAAATTGCAAGTATAGAGGTCTACCTGTTTGGCTTGTAATATCAGAATTAGTATCAAAACAATAAAAAATCAAACAACTTGTTGCATTTATTTTGAACAAATAATTGAAAACCGCGAAAACTGAATGAAAGGTCAACATTTCTTTTCAAAACCAGGTTCTATATATCTCTAAAGGATTATTTCGCTTCAAAAACTCTAGATTTTGTCGATGCATACAATGAAATAAACATTTTGAAAACATCCGAATTTGAATGTTTTCTGAATAATTTTTTTGTTATTGAAAAGAAAACACATACATAAACAAATAAAGATGACATATTAAGCCAAGAAAATAAAAAAATTGAAATCATATGGTATCATAGCCCTACCTTGATATCATTGTACCATGGATAGACCCATAGTTACTTTTGAAGATCTTCATAGAATCACTTTCTGAGTCGATTTATGATTGTTAGTCCGTCTGTCCGTCCATGTATTCTTGTGAACAAAATGCAGGTCACATTTATTACCCGATTGAGATGAAATTGTGCAAACAATATTTGTTTGGCCCAAGAACGAACCCTATTGAAATTGGTGATAATCGGATCAGATTTAAATATAGCTCCCATATATGTTCAACCGATTTCTGGTTAATTGTGCTCCCTACGTTATGGGGAGGTGGCCCTCTCGGTCGGCAGGGGCGGGAAAGTGAGGCGTTGGGAACGATCGAAAAAAAAATGGCTAATACAAGTCCAAATGACCTGTATTTTGATTCATCACAGTCTAGAAGCATGCACATTAAACTTGGTGAAAATCAATTCAGATATAGCAGATAAAGATTTAATGTTTAAGTCTCTCAAGTTCGAAATATGCATTCGACAACAATGATATTTGGTAGCAGATGTCCGATACAGCCCAGAAATACCTCTGCCAAATTTAAACAAGATAGGTTCAGACTTGGATATAGGTCCCATATATATCTTCAATAGATTTCGGTTTAATTGTGCACCAAATGTCCTATATCTGTCAAAAAGTCCTGAATTTAGGTACATCCGACGGAATTAAGTCTAGAAGCAAGTACATCAAGAAATTCGGTTCAGATATAGCTATAGCTTCCATATATCTGTTTCATCCGATTTGGTGTTTTAGTCCCCTACATTCGTAATATGCATTCGACAGCAATATTTGGTACCAGATATCTTATAAAGCTCGGAAATACCTTTGCCAAATTTTATCGAGAACGGCTAAGATTTGGATATAGTTCCCATATGTATTATTAAACCGATTTCAGGTTTATTGTGCCAATAATGGCTAATATCAGCCCAAATGGAGAGAATTTCGGGACGCACGTTTCCATTTCGCACAACTCGGCTTCTGTATATATTTTATGTAATGTAATTCTTATCATACACTCTATAACTGCTCTAAAGCCAAATGTTGATAGGTGGTATTATCTACATGAAATAAATTCTTTTGTTACGGGAGCTCTACTAAATATGCATGATAGTGTAGGGTACCATATAGTCGGCTCCGCCCCGACTTTTGACTTTTCCTTAATGGTTAATACAAAAATTCTGCAGACCTATAACACATCTGAGTAACATTTTATGCAAGTACTTCAATTCGTTCAAAAGCTAGTGAGTTCAAAAGCAGACGGACAGACCGATAGACGGACGCCAAATAGACATAAAATTCCATGTCAATCAAGAAAAATATATATACTTTGTGGGGGAGGGGATGTAACACAAGAGTATATTTCGAGGTGTTACATACGGAATGATAAACTTAATATACACTCCATGCAATGGTTGATAGTATAAAATTATATGTTGGAACCTCCTGTTATTGTATTATATCTCTACCCTCTTATTGTTCATAAGCAAATAACCGCATTATTACAAATATATATGACAAAATATGTAGTTTTTCCAATGAATCATTTTCATTTCAAAACATTTTAGTGGCGAGGTTTTAGGTTCAATTGTGCACCAATTTTGTATTAGTAAAAAATATAATTATAGACGCTATTTTGAACAAACTAATTCTTCTAAACAAAAAAACTCAATGTTTTTAAATTTTTAAATATTCGTATTTTTTATTATTTCTCATTTCAAAATAAAGAAAGCCCTTTAAGGCTTATTATATTATTTTTAATTTTAAAATTAAATGATTAAATATCCACATTTCCGGAATAGAAAACCTGCAATAAAATAAAAATACATGTTATTAATGCACGAATTTATGAAAACATGAATATTAGTTTAATTTAATTTGTCAGTAGATTAAGGTTTAGTTATCAAGTCTTTTCAGCAATTATGTTTATGAAGACCGTCATGATTTTATCATCATAGAGAATTTGTTAATATCACTATATAAAATTATAATTACCTGTAAAATAAGTTGTTTTTGTTGATTCAGCTAATTCAATCCTGAACGTGTTTAGCCAACTCATTGTAAAACAATATATGTTGACAACGTTCCAACTTTTTCCTTCCAACAATGCCGAATTCGCTAGGGAACGTGTATTAATCCTCTGAAATAAACCTTTGAATTTGAAGGAGGATTACAATAAAATGTTAGTCGAACTTTCAAGTTAACAATCAAGTTTCGACTTTTGAGAAATATTTTTCAAAATGTATATCTATTTCATTAACGTTGCTGAAAATGTATACTGAATTAGGATTTGGATAAAAACATTTTAACGTTATAGCGTAAAATGGCATTTATAGCTTTTATAAGATTTATCTATTTAACCCAAACGTTATTATATATAAAGTTTCACAAATTTTATCCTGCTGATAGCCTCAATGAAAGTACATATGTACCTTCAATCAATTGGGTTATTATTCGCGATCAAAGCTTGATTTTGCAGAAAATACAAATGATTGAAAGTAGTACCATGTGGTACCGTCGCGGCGAATGGGACGTTCGTTATGGTAGATTTGCTATTCGTCGGCAACAAACGACATTATTAAATTCGCAGCCCGTAACATAATTTATTTTAAGTACTTGAATGAAACATTTCCCCCAATATAACTAACAATTAAGTGCCACTGAAACGATAACCGATAAAAATCCCCCATTGAAGTCCTTTAAAATTTACAGTGCAAAGTCAGAACAACGTAACCTGGAAAAGAAGAAAAAACAAATATTTAGAAAGAGAAACAATAAACAAATCGTAATAAAACTAAACGTTATTAGGTATGTCAGTAGATTTAGGTTAATTTATCAAGCCTTTTCAGCAATTATGTTTATGAAGACCGTCATGATTTTATCATCAGATAGCAAAAAAACGTAAAAATTTTACACATTTTTTTAATAATTACCTTTTCTTCGAAGTCTTGTGAGCATCCCACGTCGAAAATATGAACCCAATGATTAAACAACAAACAGAATAGGTGTTGATTTTACGAATATTTTATTATTGGTATCCTGGTGTAAAAGCAATGCTTAGTTTGAACATCAAACTAATTTATTTGAAACTACTTTGGAGAATTCATTTAGAATTTCTTGAAATTCTTCTTGGAACCTTGACCCTTGGAGACCTTCAATACGTTGAAACGAACAGTCTTGGACAAGGGACGGCATTCACCAATGGTAACAATATCGCCGATCTCAACATCTCTGCAAGCAAAAGAACATTTATTTTATTAATAATCATGGCTACAACACATATAATACAAAATGCATGTACGTTAACGTTTGTTGTCAGTTGATTTAGGTTTAATTATCAAGTCTTTTCAGCAATTATGTTTATGAAGACCGTCATGATTTTATCATCATAAGTTACGTTAGACAAACTTTTTCGATGATCGACACTCACCTGAAGGCGGGAGAGCAATGGACGCTCATGTTTCTGTGACGTTTTTCGAAACGACTGTATTTACGCACAAAGTGCAAGTAATCACGGCGGATGACAATGGTACGTTGCATCTTGGTTTTACGCACAGCACCGGTTAAGATGCGACCACGGATTCTGACATTGCCAGTGAAGGGACATTTCTTGTCAATGTAGTTGCCATCAATAGCCTACACCAGGAGAAGAAAATGTTAAATATTAATATAATTCAATTAAAGAAGGGACAAATTTCATGTTAGAACCAAAAGCATTATGTTTACAAACAATGATTATTGTTTTACAAGATGCTTTGGGTCGCAGTACACAAATCATTTGCCCACACAATATTATCCTGTGCAACACATTTAAATGTATGTTAAAATGCAACTCTCAATGCAAAGAAGGAAAAGTTTTGTGTAAATTTTATATCCAAACAGAATTCAAAAACACGTTCAATTTACTTACCTCACGAGGAGTCTTGAAGCCCAAACCAATGTCACGGTAACGGCGCAAAGCCTTCTTCTTGGCAATGCCGGGCTTAACCTTTCTGTTTAGGTTAATGCCGTCTTGTTTTTGGAAGGCTTTCTCGGTTTGCTACACATTCCATGTTAATGATTAGAGAAACCATGTTGTTATTTTGGGGAGGGGCACAGGTGGACACAGGAATTTTTGTCAATGCAATTCATTCACATTCATTTTGTATCGGCAGGCCATTCATAGTGTTGGGTGGGTGTTGTGTGTAAATTGGGATTGGAATGATTTGGGGATAACGTGCAAAGAGAACAAACAAAAACACAAGATTAGTATGCTTTGATCCGGAATCTCACCTCAGCTGGAGTACGGAACCCCAGGCCAATGCTACGAAAGAAGCGTGGCTTCTTCTTAAAATTATTAGGTTTACGACGGATCACAGGAACCGAGAATTGTTTGCGATAAGCACGCTCTGTTTGCTATACCAACAGAAGAAAATCATTAGTACGAGCTTTATATTTTTCTATCAAAAAGTAAGGTTAACTTGAATGTTTTCATTAAATGTCTCTCCAGTTTTGTATCGTTTGTTGTTACAATCACTATGGTTATTACAAAAACTTAAAATTCCACTTAATATTTCTATTTTTTCAGTATCGGCATTTGCGTACTTTATTTTTTTTTAATTTAACATTTCATCCGCATGGTTTGCTTGTTTGTCTGCGATGGTGCACACAAGAGTGAAGTTATTTTCCACAAATTTTTCATGTTTTCTCATTGGCTCATTTCATAGCTCTTGGTTTTTTCTTCACATTTTCGCTGTGTTTTTCACAATTTTTCCACTATTTCATTGTTTAAAACATTAAAAACGTAGATTTATCTTCGCGTCTTACCTGATCAGCCATATTGATGTAAAAGGAAAGAACGCACGCGAGCAAAGGAAGTTGAGACGGCAAATTTGACAGCACGAAGTGAAGTTGGCTGCAGTTGTTTCAATGAAAATGGGCATGACTATTTGGCACTAGATGGCGTGTATTATAAATAAAACAAATTAATATTTTTATTTAATTTAAATTAGTTTGCCTCAAATAATATATAATTTTTTTTTTTAAATTTATGTAATTAATGTGTTAGCAAATACAGTACAATGATAAATAGTGAAATTAATTAAAAATCAAAAAATCTCGTATAAAGATCATACAAAAATATATTTATAAAAATTTTAATTTTTTAATTTTTTCATAAATACATGTTTAATGTCCCATTTTTATGAAACAAGAATTTAAATGCAGATTTAATATTAAAAATAAATAGTTTTAACTTAATAATCATTTGAGTTTAATGTTTTTTTCTTAAAAAATTAAAATTGTATATTATTTGCTCGATATATGCTTCGATATAATGTATAAATGTGTTTGGAACTTTTCATGTTAATATAGAACTTTTATATTTATTTATTTATTATTATTTTCATTTTTTGGAAAATATTGTATAATAAATGTATATTTTGTTTCTTTTTACACAAATATTGTATTCAATAGAAAACAGGTGTTTTCTGCTGAGAGACTAAGCGAGAGTTTCACTCTCTACTCAAATTCGAGAGGAAGCGCTCGTGGAAGTGAAAAGAAAACCCGATGTCACTCGAATTAGAGCATATGATAGTTTTGTTACCTTTGTTGGTCTTGTACTCGAAATCCACCGGCACATTGCTTCTGCTGTTTTTCCCTTCTTGACTTTTGAACACGATTGAACAACATTAAAAAAAGGTTGTTACTAAAACACATACACAAACACACATGTTACAGTAAACTCTTACTACTTCGAGCATTTTGACTCACATTCAATTTTTTTAAAAAAGATTTACTCGAGAGCGATCCCAAATAAAACAAAAGAACCCAATTAAAAGTTTTTATGGGAGAATTCAATCATACAGGCTATGATTATAATTATAGTTTAAAGTTCAAAGGACTAAATATGCCGAAACATTTGTATCTTTTCAATTCGGGCTTGTTTTGCCCATTTGGTGCACAATTAACTTGAAATCGGATAAAGATATATATAAGAGCTACACCCGAATTTGAAACGATCTCGATAAAATTTAAAAGATATTTCTGGGCTGTGTTTGATATATTTCCCTGAATATCGTTGTTACGGACTGCATATTACAGCTGTGGGGAACAAATATAACAAATCGAATGAACAATATATATGGGAGCTGTAGCTATATCCGAAATTTGATATACAAGCTTCTAGTGTAGCATATAACGTACTATGATTGAAGGCGATGGTATTAAGGACATATGTAGAGAGCAAGAGCACGTTAAGTTCCGGCCTGATTACTCGTCGGGAGGGTAGGTTCAAAGATCTCATGTCCTTCCTTCGGCTACACGTAATTATTTTATTGTACGTGCTCACTTAATAAAACAAATGACGGAAAGAGAGAAAAAAAGAGGAGTAGAGTACTAATTCTTTGCGGTTATCTAAAGTTTCGGGCCGAGAAGATCTTATTTCGGCGGTTTATGCCCACCCAACCTGATCACAATGATTATATTCCAAATATTGTACTGATGTTTCGTCTGTGATTCCCTGCTTTAGAAGGCCTATTCACCCAACTACACCATGGAATCAAACATCTACGTAGTTTACTCCAATCGATTCATTTTCAATTTATTATAACAAAAAGTTAATATTAGACTTACAAATTTAAAGTTCATATTTCATTTTTAATCTTAGCTATAATAAGGCTAATAAAATCAAATAAATAAATCCTAAGGAAATCTAATTGCATCATGTGGGTGAGGTTTTGATAAAAAAAAATAAAACAAAGAAAATTATAATAACATTGAACAAAATTTTATAATTGACTCTGTCGTTCTTAAATCATCACCCACTTTAATACACTTGATACGCGGTTGGTAACATTCATGAGTCAACTTACAGTATCAACAATGTGGATAGAGAACAGAGAAAAAAATATCAAATTTCTATGCGTTCTTGCAATTATATTTAAGAGAAAAAAATTGATTCTCACTTACCCTGCATAATCCCGCGTCGAAAGGCCTTTCGTAGAGATCATATGAGTTTGTTATTGTAGTTGTTATCTCTCGCAACAATGTTGAGAACAGTCAGCAACTCAGCACTAGCAACACGCTTATCACTCTTGTAGATAGGTTGTCCCAATCAAACTTAGTCAAGTACACAAAACAGTATTCTCTTTTTTTCTTTCTTATTGTAATGTCTGTATGTCTCAGACAAAAATATAGGTATGGTGAGTTGTGTATTCAATGTGTGTTTGACTTGTTTGATTGAAACAGGGGTAAGGTAAGGGAGATGTTGTTAAATAAATTATGCATATTTACACATAGCAACAAAAAAATTGGCATTTGAATTTTGAGCTTCAAAGTTAAATCAATAAAAAACTATTTTCTCGTTTTTAATGAATTTTTCCCAATTGTTATACATTACACTTTTCAAGGAAGTAACATTCATATGCCACTACTTTTATGCCTGTTTCATAAATTATTAAACTATACTTAAAATCTTTCTTAAAATCATTTTGACAAACGTTGATACAGCATGGTTAAAAATTTTATACTTGCTGCTTCTACTGCTGGTGTTTCAGCTGCCGTTGTTGTTGCTGTTGCTTTTGGTTCAACCTTTTGATTGTCATATATATGTTGTGGCTCAGAATTTTCACGAAGAAAAATATATTTTTTTTTTGTTCCTTATGTTAGGCTTTATTTCTCTATAGGAAGGATCCAAATTCTTCTCTATATCTTGAAATTTTTGGCTGGCACTTTTCGTTTTATAAAAATTTGATAGTTTGACTTCTTCCAGAACCATTTGCACTCTCGGTTTAAAGCATAGACGATAAATGATTGTAATCTCCGCATGCAAACCTCTGCTTGGTGGTAGAAAAAAACCGGTATTTTTATGGTCCTACAAAGCTACGGGTATATTGGAATTGCTCTGCAGGTTGGTGGTGCCAGTTCTATTGGAGAGAAGTATTAAAAGAACTTTAGCTCTCAAATTAAATGATTTAAAAAAAACATATTACCGCGTTTTGCGAAGTGGCACCGGAGAAGAAATGTGAAAAGAATATCGGTTTTGAGGCAAGGAGTGAACCGCAGGATATTAAATATTTGTCGTTTACAAAGAAAAATGTATATGTCACTCAAAATTACCTACATATTGAGACACAAATTTGTAAATAATAAATTTGTAGCTGACTCAGTCTGCTGTGATAAACTCACCAGTGTCCGATTATGGATATTAAGAAAACAAGTAATCAGTTTAAACAAGATTTCTGATGTGCAAAAATTATGAGGTTAAATTTGCATATGACTATATTTTAGAGACACTCGTGAACTAGACTGTACCAGGTTGAAACGACCAAATGACCGAGCGATTTAGTTTTTGCGCCCAAGAAGCTTAGTAATGGCGCTTAAAAAAATAAGATTGAAAAGGAAGAACAATAAAGATGTTGTACCTACCAACTAGCTGATAAATAGGCCTGCAAAAACTGCATAAACTATACGTATAGATGGCGTTGCAGTATATTTATTGACCAACATATCGTCACGGAGTATCCATTCTATTTGAAATGAAAATGTTGTGTTTGAAAGTGTGCAAAGGATATTTAATACGAGGGGCAAAGGAATTATGGGCAGGCACCACCTTACAATTCCCCCATCTAAAATCAGACTTCGGGAATGATTTTCATTAACGAGGCTGATAAAGCCTGCCAAAACTAATAAACCATACCTATTGGCGAATATCTTTGGCATGGTACGTGCCAACTGAGTTACCTTTTAGGTCTTCTAATTCATAGTAACTATTCCCTATTTTCTTTCTAATTCGAGCCTTCAAAAATGCTGGCGCTAATTTGGCATTGTAGCCTTGTTCAAAATTGCTCTGTTTGAAGTTTCTTCTAAATATCTCTTGTCCAACAGTATAAGAAACTTCCCTGGAACGCAAATTATATACCCTTTCATTTCTAATATGTTGTCTATTCATCAAATCTGCTGCACGTCTTGCCATTATGTCCCTTGAATCATTTCTATCATACCTTACAGAACGGTCTTCCAACATCTCCAACTGTCTAAGGAGAGGATAAGTTTTACCATTTGTGATCATGTGCTGACCAAAGGTAAGGTAGTAAGGACTTGTACCTATAGCTGCGTGCACCGTGGACCGCAAGGAACAGCTTATATTGCTGAGGAACTCGTCCCAATTCTTTTGGTTGGGTGTAATATATGATTTTATAGCCGACAATACTGACCTATTAACCCTTTCCGATGCGTTGGATTGAGGAGAGTGAACAGCAGTATATATGTGATGTATACCATAACGATTTAGAAGAATATTGAAAACATTAGAGCGGAATTGGGAGCCATTGTCGGATACAATGGACTCAGGGACCCCAAAAGTATGGAAAAGTTCATTTTCCATATATTGGGCGACAATGTCCGCTGTGAACTTCTTCACTGGCTTTAAAAAAGGAAATCTCGAAAAATGATCGAGCACTATAAAAATGCCAATATTTCCCCTACTCGACCTCGGGTATGGACCCAAAAAGTCGACGTAAAGTTTTTGAAAAAACCTAGAGGTCTCAGGAGTTTTTCCCATGGGAGGTCTAAGAACATAATTGGGAGGCTTGGATGATTTGCAAACTTCACAATTATTAATATACTCCCTCACATCAACTGCTAGATTAGGCCAAAAGTAATATTTACGAATTTTTGCTAGAGTCTTATTGATGCCGCCATGTGACGATAAAGGTTCGTCATGGGCCCTATTCAAAACGTCCGCAACCAATTCCCGCGGTATCCATAGTTTCCAGGCTAAATCGTCATGCACTTGGTCCCCTGTGGTGTGCTCAGTACGACGGTATAAGAAGCCATCGACAATTTTGATATCT